ACAGCGGTTTCGTTCCAAATGAACGGACGGGTTTGTCTCATTGAGTTCCTTCTATTTGGTCTGTCAGTGAACTGTAAGCGGGTGTTGAATCAGTCCTTGAATTTACTGGTTATACATCGAGTATAGTATAGCACCAATCTTCTACTGGCTTCTGTTGTGTGTATATTGATATGGACTCCTTCAGGAAGGTGGCTGCGCCCGATCAAAAACTGCATACATCTAATTTGATTCACCAATTCTGACAATGGTAAAAGAAAAAACATTTCAATAGAAGTGTATGAGTTCGTCCACTTCTGTCCAGTTCTGTACGTATCTGAACAGCAAAGTCAAAGTTTTATTATGGGAAATACTTACAAGCGGTTGCTTTTCTAGTCCCATAGGATTTGGCACAGATGAATCGGTTCACAGTTCATAAAAAGTAGATGAATGTCACAATTTGTCCTTTTTCGTGCGCTTCTACGGATGTGGAAATTTAAAACTTTTCAAAGCTGCATTCAGTTTGTGCTTGAATGAATCAATTGTGGGCGCAGAGACAACGTGTGGTGGTAGAGAATTCCAAGTAATGCATACTCTGAGGGCGAATGAATGACGCCGGCATTTTTAGAGCACTAATTTGAATGAGTGCAGGTGAGTGTTGGACGACATGGATGGTCTGGGTTCTGCATTATTTGGTATACCAAGATCAAGTCTCCTCGAATACCGAGATCCTTCTCATTCCAGACGTACGGAAGTTGATAATCTCCTAGGAAATACGGAAACCGAGTTTTGTGTCGAAGGGATACGATCGTACATTTTGATGCGTTAAATTCCATGTCATTTTCGATCGACCATTGATAGGCAGCATTAAGTGTTCTTTGGAGTTCTAGCGAGTCCTCTGATTTTGTCGCCGTTTTCCATATTTTTGCATCGTCTGCAAACATTATTGTATGTGGATAGAGAATGTCCGTTAGGTCGTTTATTAAAACAAGCAAAAGTTGAGGGCCCAGCACGGATCCCTGTGTACAGAAAATAAGAACAACAACAGCAAAAGTAGATGATGCCCGAGTGTCGGACAAGTGAGCATATGAACTAGACCCATCACAAGACAGAGGGGGGGGGCAAAAGGTCATATATTAACAAGGCCGCAGTTAATAAAAATAATTAATGGCGTTTAATCCCTGTTCTTGTTTATTGATCATAGAAATGTAAAATCATGGCGAGCGTCCGTATAACAAGAGATGCCAATCCTACCACGTTATGGTAAAACTGGTCACAAAAGTCAGATTGAACTGAACTTATCGAATGAATGCAACTGCAGCAAACTGAACAAAACGATGGTTTTGTTTTCTGCTTATGATCCTCAAGGAATTTTCAGACGCTATGTACATATATTTATACTCTAACAAGTGATGTGCGACGGAATCGTTCTGAGTATATGTGGATATCCTAAGGGTCAGTTATCTTTCAGTTCGTTCTACTTGCCTGTTATCTTATATACGTTGAAGTATAAAAATGCCATAGCAGATAACTGAATAATAAGGTCTATTCAAATTTGATTCTGTCCAGTCTTGTATGAGACGATTTTTCATCAGAGTTTATCGGGGACCATACAGAAACGGGATGTCTGATGACAGTGGTGGTGGTGGTGGTGGTGGTGGGATTGGAGCACGCGACTCTCGGGTTGATTTAATAGTGACCCATGCACGTTTGTCGTTTGTTGATCATACTGGCCAAGGGATTTTTCTTTTCCTTTTAATCGGTTGCTTTCCCTTTAGATGCAGGCGAACGGTGTTTATCATCCTCATACTGTGAATGTATCCATCTCTACAAAAACGGAGATTACTTTAAGTTTAGCTTTAGTCAGCAATGACTCCTTGTTGATGAAATACTCTGAGGACGTTATCTTGGACTTACTCTATCCTAATAATTCAGTTCTCCCCACTATCCAGCTTGGGATCTCACAACTTAACGAATGGCCTTCTGCACATAACCTTTTCATGGACCCATCTAAATGTGTTAATATTTTATTTTATTTCCGCAGGGCTAACTTATACCTTTGAGATGTACCAGTCGCTATTCAATAACGGTACACCCCTCAGTCAGGGAACATCAGTTAAATACTTTGGTATTATTCCTAGCTACTGTCTTTCTTGGTCTGAGCACATCAGCAATGTCTTTGTAAAAATCGAAAGGTTTTCTTTTTCCTAAGCCTAGGGTGATTATCCATTCCCTCCCATCGGATAGGACAATTTGTATGTGTCTGCATCTTACCGTACGGGCTCTGTGCCGCCCCAGTGATATTTCCTGGTTTATTACAAAAAGATGTGTGTGATTTCTAGGTCACTTACACATTTATCCATGTGTTGTGGTTTACTAAAAATTTATTTATTCCCTCACATAGTCTCCCTACAGACCGAAACTTGGGGCAAACTAGATTAAAAAATATTGTCAGACTCCTCTCATCCTCTTACCTTCACATGATCCAAATGTATTTCAATCTATTCTACTCGTTCCCTATTCAAACACGTTCAAGCACACAAAAGAGGGTACTACTCTTCCACATTTCCTTTCCTTGCTCACATTTTATGGCACCCGGATCGTATATGGCATGATTGGTTCACAGCTTTCAGTTAACTTCGTAAACTTGGTGTCTTCGTTTGTGAGGGGTATTTGGCAACTGAATTTTCACCAGGCGGTGTTATAAAATAAATTCTTGACTTGACGGTACCAGAACGTTCATTTTTTTTATTGTATCACTTTTTGATTCCGGTCAGGGGGCTTGTAAATGCAAAACTATGTACCGTTTGTGTTACAGTTGGGAATTTTACTTGCTGGAGTAGCGCATTTTCGATGAAAACATACGAGATATGTCAAATGGCTTGACGATACGGGCATATCATTCAAATCTTCGCCTATCAACATGTACGGCACATGCGACCGCCACACACTCTCATTCCTTAACCAAGCTTTGGAATGTCAACAGTTGTAGAAAGTTGAAGGTTTCAACATTCGCTGACCTCAGAATAGTCGGATACTTTTTGATCTGACTCGCCCGCAGCGATATGACTGAAGTTTGTGCGTTAAAGCTAAAGAACTACCGGTTCTGGTTAAAGGATTGTGAGCCGAGGCTAAAGGATTGCGGGTTTCGATTAAACCTCGATGACAAACTGTGGCCGATGGATATTTTCTGCTCGCAAACTCAAGATCTCACAACTATAAAGCACACACGACCTTTCAACTTCATTGAAACGTCACATCTATGTTAGCGGTTTTTCTGTCAGGTGTAAACTGCTCGAGCTTTGGAACTGCACGCGGTTATCTACTTTGCTACTCTAGCGTCATTCAGTTGTCATGTTGCTGTCTAGGTAGTAAAAGCAATCGATCATACTTAGTCTGTGACCACTTTGCCGAAATTTTTGAGTCTGTTGTGTACACGAATGCAGTTGTTCACAACGGCCGTGATTGAGAAACTGAGGTTGCGAACCTGCTCGGCGGATCATGTTTATTCAGATTCATTGACGTTTTCTTTTTATGCATTCAAACATCACTAGACTCCACTTCCGCTCACATTCAAGCTGACCGATGACACATATCCACTCGGTTCGTCCAAAATGTGCACTCCATATCCGTCTTACGAAAACCATGGACTCCCTGTGCTGACCGGCTTACGCGTAATATTTTTCGATTATTCCTGGTTGAGTTAAGTGCTCGTTTAGTGAGAAATAGTTTGAATAAAAAAACAATTGCTGATTTATTATAGTGTGACACTCTTGCTCACTCAGCATGCGATCGAAAAGCCCCCTGAAAAAGTAATTCATGTTCCTAACGATTCCTTTAAGCCAAGTCACCATCCATCCACAACATTTGATGGTTTCTCACGCATGTTCCGTCTCATTTTGAACTCTCCCAAATCGAGCCTTTGATGATGTCCCCAGTGCTCTTCGATACTTGCATCCGCACAAAAATGTCACTTCGTACAGCAAGAATCACACTCATCTCTCAACTGCCACATTTTTAGCAAATGCCAAACAGCTTTAACTAGTAAGAAACAATAAAGTCTACTTGTTTATTCCTACTGCCACCTCTCCCTATTCGCCCACCCGCATGTTATTCGTTTCCCGTTCATGCACACAGGCACATTTTCAGTTTGTGCCAAGTCTCGTGCCTGGTACATGGGTCTTCTCGGTACACCTATCCCAACCTCTTCAGGGACAGAGCGGGAGGATGGTACGGTTCAGAATTGTGGACATTTCTGCTGATAACCTAAATGGGACAGCGGTGTGTATGTTTATTTTCAACCCTAACCTGTTCAGATAAGTGAATCGATTCCCAGTTATTTCCCCCTGTTCTATCATGGGAATTCCCACAGCCACTGCAGTGCCATTTCGTTTTCTTGTATGCACCAACCTTGGCTTTGGGATCGTTTTTTTTTCTCGTTCGCAAATTATTACGAATCTGAGTCTGAATTCCTGAGGGCGAGTGAAGGTGATACGTGTCAGTACTATTACATCACCGTGGAATATCTTGTTCCGGTCTGTAAATTGGCCCCTGCAGTGTAACCCTTTAGAATCTGTTTACCTACTGGCTCATCATATGATGGAATGTTATAAAAAAAGATGGTCTCGGAACGAACTGCTCCCTAAGTGCAAACTCAGTTGTTATTTTTCTCTTTTAATTTGTGAATGTTAGGCGTTCTGCTGGATCTTCCGTGCTTTCGTGTATAGCCCATCGGTACTGCATTGAATCAGTGTGTGTGTGTGTGTGAACGCGGTCAAATTGGTCAGTGATGGTATTATGTTGACCCGTGTTCTTAACCAGACCACTCGTCGTTATCACCTTCCTCGTATCATCTGTTTGCATGGTTTTCACCGGTTTTCTTAGCCCATATTTTAAACTCTTTTCCCTTGCTAATGGTTTCAGTTAGCCACATTGTGATCAGCTGGTCAGTTCATGTGATTCGCCAACGATTCTGAGCGTGTCCAATTGGGTGTTTCATTCGATTTTTTAATGTTTCTCGGCAGAATGTGGTCAATCGGTTAATGGAACAAGGAGTTGCGTTCGATCAATCCGTCTACCGCGATCTGCTCTATCTGTATCAACGTAGTCATCCCACGCATGCCTATGCAAAAACAGAAGAAAGCGTAGTCAAATTGGCCAGTGTGGTGAACAAGACATTGGCCTGATGTTCGCCGGGTTCAATCTTTCTCACTCTCGTCCTCAAACTTTGATCGTCTGAAGTTACCATCTGCTCTGATACATCTCTACGCGCTTTCATGGCACGTCTGTTCATTGCTCCTCATTTGCGGGAATTTCTTTTCTTTCTATGATGTACGCACCTCTTATTTGTTTTATTACTGATGAGATTATTGTCTTTCGCATGTATCTTTTCCGACTTCAATATAATTCGCACACACTTGCAAAACTGCTCGAAATACATCTTTTCTATCGTTCGCACATTGTGCACATCGATTCCTAGAAGAGTTTTGAAGCAAACCAATCAAAAATGAGTGTGTTTCGAATTCGCACAGTCGATCGACTCTTATAGCACATGTTCGATGTTGCTTTTGGTGCCTCCGAGATCTCAGTTGCACTCTTCTTGGGTCCTACTCCCAGGATTGCTCCCTATAAAACAGTTTGATNACTGGGGGGGGGGGGCGGACTACTGACGATAGGTACACATCACGGGACTACCAAGAAGGAGGAGGTGAAACTACAAAAACGTTGCATATTCATCTAAATATTTCGGTCATTGATAATCAGATTGTCTGACGATTTAGTACTTCGCGTGTGCAAGTTTCTGTATCCCTCTCCTTGGTGTGTGGTTATTTGAATACTATGCTTCGTGAGTGTTTATTCGTGGAGAATCACATTTCTGCACAAATCTTCCAGTCCTGAAGTTTTTCCGATGTAAGCGGTTGTGCAGACCGCATTATGGGTGCTTACATTCCAGAGAAATGATTTAAAATGTTATCTACACTGTAATCCCACTAACCGCAGTGTTCGTAATTCGTCCCCCAAGCGATCGGACGAGAAACTAAATAGCTACCATAGAATAATCGGCCCATAGTGAGTGGTAGCAAATATAAATTACAGTAGGACAGAGGGAGGAGGCGGGTGGGTTCATGCACCAAACAGCTCTTTTTATTATAAATATGGAATACCACGCGCAGCATCATACTGAATGTCACTGTGTTTCTCTCACACAAGAGCCCATTTCGATCCACACGAGGAACGAATTGCGCCCTCTCTTCATGCACCACCCGTGTTTTTCTGGGTTATCGTGTGAAATAGTGACACAAACGCACTCCACCCATCCGTATCGAAATTGGGAGTCATTGACCTCATTAATTAATTTCGGTGCATTCCCACCAGTATCCTGGTACACACTTGCAAGTCGTTTCAGTAACCCTTTCAATCTTTTACTCGGACGGTCGATACTTTCATCCCCCCCTCGTTAATGTTATGTGGCAGAACTCTTAAGTCAAAAGCAAATGGAATACCTGCGAACACAAGTGTATTTGTTTGGAAACTCCTGATTGTGCTTTGATTGGTCAGCAACCGTTTGCCCTCATATGACCCGGTTCCGTCTATCCCGTCCCTGGAAAAACCGATTGACTACTACTACTACCTCGTCACAGTTGAGTTAATCTACATTACGTCTTCAAACCAAATCAGCGATAGTGATGTTTTCAGCTCCCAGACCGTCAGGACACGAACGTGTTGTGAACCCGTCCCTATTCCGGTACTTGTTTATCTGTCTCAGCTAAACCTAGTTAGTAGGCAGGACTAATGGAAAGCACCATTAGAATGGGTCACTTAAGCCGAAATATAACTTGCTGCGGCACGGATTTGCAGGTGAACTCGCTTTACCTCTCTTTTAATTTCGATAATTGCAATTTTTCTGAATTTGCGGCTTTCAGGTTGCAGCCAGGAAAATGGTTACTCTATCTATTTGTCAAACGAAGCTCACCGAGTTTCGCGATAGTGGCGATGAATGCGTAGGACAATTGCCATTGACCCGCGTAAAAGAAGCGGAGTGTAGTAGTTAGTTGCTTCACGATTATCGCCTTCGGTTGCCTCGTGTCCGATTTTTGGTTTGTCAGTCGGTAGTCGACCACTGCAATGCAGTCAAATGAGGCGAAACAATGTTAATGTACACTGGATTATCGTACTTCGAAACCACCCGTGGATTTCACTGATTTCCTCGTAATAAATGAATTCTTCCACGCTCTTCATATCATGTTCCAGTCTGTTTCTTTTGAGTCTTGGGATCGAAGGAGTTGTGTACGATGTTGGAGATATGTTGAGGAACAGAGACTCTTTTGGTCAAGTCGTCGCACTCCCTATTCGCACAGTATATTTAGCCTAATTCAAGCATTCAGATCCATGAATTACAACCGCTTGAAATCAGGCACTGGACGCAATGACACTGACCAACCACGGATACACAGTTGTCCAATGTCACGTGATTTTTATAGGTGGATGGGTTGAAATGTTACGCTTTGAGTAGGCGGTACGAAGTCACTGCTGACTGGTTTCCTGGTTGTGCAACGTATTATCGGATCTGGCAGACATGACAGAATGAACAGGATTCAAAATTGGAACTATAATCAGCAAATCCTGATTTAAGCAGATTCTTCCAGGGAAAGCAATGCATGTGGGCCTCATGAGAATGGCTTTCGGATATTCTTCCAAACTGGTCCACTGATAAACCGTGGCTGTTTCACAGGAAGCCCATCTAAAACGAGAAGTTGACAACCTCTGAGAAATGCTCAATTATGGGTGCTGGAGAGGTTAGCTACACTGAGTGATATGGCTGGGTGTCGCAAACAGCGGCGCTCGTGTATCCACTCGTTATTTTCCTAACACCTCTATATATGTATTCCCCATCTTCCGCTTGAATTTGCTTCGACATTCCAATCT